AAATCGCTTGATTGCAGTGATTGCCTCAAAAGGTTGTGCAACAAAATATTAAGTTCAGGGTACCATCATTTTTGTCCAGGCTATTGCTGTTGAACCACAATTCAAAAGCAATGTCTCATTTTCTTTAGTTAATTTTTACTTTTGTCAGTTTCAAGTTATTTCAGTGACCATTGTGGGTTTTTCTTTCTTTAATGGAAGGGTACCAACAATTTTGTCCACGTGTGTAGATGTGAGGTAGTATGAGTAGTACGCTACCTCATAAGTGACTCAGTAGGGTGCAGTATAAGGTTTGGGGTGGATTGATGGGCCAAACAAACTCAGCATTACAACGACTGATAACGGCAATTTAATGGGCAGATAATATTTGTATCAGTTATAATAGAGACACAGTGTCTCACATAGAAAATAAAACTTACTTACAATAGATTTTTTTTCAAATATAAAAACTACACATGGTCTTTCAGGGCTTCCATACATACCAGAGAATACAGCAGCTTTACCTTCACTCTGAGAGGAGGAAGGTTCTTTGCTCTCTGAAGTCTGTCCAACATCACTGACATCCACTGACCCTGAGAGAGAGAAAAAGATTGTGTTATACTTTCCATTTGACTAATTATGTATCAATAAGTTAATCAGTGCTTGTCAATTACTTCAGACTTCCATGTGGTTTCTAAATGTTTCTGTGTTATGTGCTGTAGGTTAAATAATTTCATCTTGGGTAGCTGATTAGTTAGAGTGAATAAATCAAATCATTCAAAATAAAATAAAACATAATTCTGTAAAATACAAAAGAATGTGATTAACTATAAAAACAAGTTATTATGTCTATAACTTCATTTAAACTCCTATAACTGATAAATGACTGATGTTTCAGTAATTATTATCAACAGAAACAGCACATAACCAAAAAGAATGTACTGTTAAATTTAATGACATGAAAGCTGCTTGGAGAATCAAACTGTGAGCCTGCCAATGAGGCCTCACAATGTGATTGACTGACGAATAGTTATTGGCTGGTGAACCATAGCTCTGGAGATTGACTCTGTGAGTTCAAATAGTGTCTACACATGATTTTAGGACTAATTATTATTATAGGAAATAATTGTGCACACAAGATAAGTAACTTGTGCCCATAAGATAATAACTTGTGTGCACAAGATAACATTTTTTTTTACCTTTTGGGACTTTAGGGGCACTGTAAATAACATAGCAAATTGACTGCTTCAATAAAGCAATGAACACAGCAATACTTCAAACATAGTGGAGAAAAAAGCAAACACATGCCTATAAAGCTATAAATGCAACTTACCCCCGTGGTCTTCAAAGCATAAATTATCCCAAGATAAGTAATTTGTGCGCACAAATTACAAGATAAGTAACTGTTAAAAAATGTTTACCTTTTGGGACTTCAGGGGCTCCGTAAGAATGTCTTATGGTAGACATTTTATAGTACGATCATATTTAGTTTGAAAAAAGTGTCTTCCTTAGGGATCGTGTACAATTTCAGGCCATCGCCACAAGGTGGCGCTCTTTAAAATGAACAAGTTTATATCTCCGCATCGGCACGTAATTTAAATAAAACTTGGTACGATGCTTGCCC